TGATTTGAAATGGTCCACAGTAGCACTGTCGTAATTTTGGTACGACGGGCATTCATAAGTTCTGTGTGTCGCGCAGTACGTAATCCCCTGACTGGTACGTGACTGGGCGGCGGTGGCGGTCAGCGTTGCGTTTAGTGATGACGTTGGATTTTACAATTGCTTCTGCGGCTCTGGTGCAGGCAGCTTGCAGAATCTCGGCGAATTGCTGTGCTCGTGGCGTTGGGTTGTCCGGACTCGGCGTCATGGGCACTGTTGGGTTTTGCCCGTAGTTCAGGTAAAAAGGGGACTACAGCGTCGTCGCTGACGTGGCGTTGTTGTAGGCGAACTCGATAAGTGGCAGCTGCTGCTCCGTCTGATTGGTCCGCTCCGTTTGACCGTCGGTCTCGGGGTGGTACGATGAACTGAACTGTAGCCTGGTCCCGAACTGCTACCGGAGGTTCTTCCAAAAGTTGTTGGTAAACTTCGTGTCGCGGTCTCTAATTATCGCGGCTGGTATCCCGTGCAGTCGAACGACGGCTGCGATGAACAGGCGAGCGGTTTCTTCGGCTGAGATTGATTTCTTGCACGCAGCGAAGTGAGCCATTTTCGTCAGTCTGTCAACGACGACCATAACCGCGTCGTTACCCCCAGGGTTCGAAGGTAACCCCGTGACGAAATCCATGGTAACTTGCTGCCAGGCCCGCTCGGGCGGTGCAATCGGCTGCAATTGACCCGCCTTCCTCTTTCGCAAGCTCTTCATCACCTAACACGTAGGACACGAGCCCACGTGGTGCTGTACGTCGGTCAACAGCTCCGGCCAGCCAGTAGTAATACCGCTGCAGTTGCTGTCACGTTTTTTCTACCCCGAAGTGGCCCGAGGTAATCCTGTCGTGTGCCTCCTGCAGTAACAGTTCCCTTAGTAGTGGGTACGCGGGTACCCAAATGCAGTTGGTGGCTGTTTTTACGTAATAGAATCCCTTAGCTTCTGCCAGTTTCTGTGAATTTCCGGTCGTGAAAAATGGGTCGGTACTGTATCCGTGGGTGAATAGGCCTGTTAACAGTGGGTTGGTTTGGGCGAGTAGGATGGCATAGAGTTGGGCGGTAGGACGTGTGAGTGCGTCGGCGATGTTTGATGCACCTTTTTTGTACGTGACAGTGTAGTGGAAGTTGGACTCCAGATAGTCCAACCAGCGGATCTGTCGCGGGTTGAGATTTGGTTGGGCGCGGAGGTACTGTAGTGATCGGTGATCTGTTCGTACTGTCACGTCGGCGCCAGTCACGTAGCATCGCCACACTTTGAACGCGTACATGATCGCCAGCATTTCGCGGTCGTGTATCGGGTAGTTGCGTTCGGGCGGGTGCAGCTTGCGGGACTCGTACGCGATTGGCTGGAGGCCGTTCTCGAAGTCCTGCAATAGTACAGCTCCCACGGCGATGCCACTTGCGTCGGTGACGAGCTCGAACGGACGGTGCGGATCTGCGATGTGAAGCACGGGCGGCGAGCACAAAATTTGTTTGAGGGCCGAGAAGGCAGCTTGCTCTTTCTCCCCCCACGTGTACTCAACCCCCTTCCTCAGCAGGTCGGTCAACAGAGCAGTCAACTTCGCCATGTCGGGGACGAACCGGCGCACGTAGTTGACGAACCCCAAAAAGCTCTGCAACTCTGTCAAGTTTGTCGGCGCGTGCCACGCTTGAATCGTCGCGATCTTCTTCGGGTCTATTTCCACTCTTAAGCTGAAATAATGTATCCCAAAAACTACAGTCTATCCTGTAAAAACTCACACTTAGATGCTTTCGTCAGTAGGCGGTTCTCACTCAGTATTTTAAAAACTGCTTCAATGTCATGTAGGTGCTGTGCTCTGTCTGGGCTGTAAATTAGTATGTCATCGAGGTACACGATGACACACTTATCTAAAAGCGGGCGGTAGGCTTCGTTCATGGTCATTTGAAAGGTTGCAGGGGCGTTGGTCAGTCCGAAGGGCATGACGGTGTATTCGAAGGATCCGTAGCGTGTTCGGAAAGCTGTTTTCGGGCAGTCGGGTGGGTTGACTTGGATCTGATGGTAGCCTCCTCGAAGGTCAATTTTCGAGAAAACCCGGGCTATGCGCAGGTGGTCGATCAGTTTGTCGGCTCGTGGGATGGGGTAATTGGGTTTGATGGTAACCCTGTTCAGTGCGTGGTAATCGATGCACATGCGAAAACCCCCGTCCTTTTTCGGTGTGAACAGTATCGGTGCTGCAAAGGGTGACGAACTCGGGCAGGTAATCTAGCTGATTCCTTAGTTCGTCCAGTTCGGGTTGGGTCAATCGGAACTGTCGCTGTACTGTCGTCCGTGCCCCCGGTTCTAACTCTATCCTGTGGTCGTGCGGTCGCTGAGGTGGCAGTCCTGTCGGCAGGTCATCCGGGAAAATCCCACTGTACTGCTTCAGTAGTGCTACCAAGTTATTCGGTACGTCGGCTAGCAGTTTCTGTAAATCCTCCCCTTTGTCTGCTGCCTCGGCTTCCCGAATGTCAACCGCGTACACGTCAGCTCCTGCCGCTACGGCGCATTTCATCGTGATCGCGTTGACACGCACCGACGAAGACTCAGGCGAGCCCCAGCGAGGTACGGTGACGTTGTTACCGTTCACTCGCACGGTGCAATCACCTGTCGTCCAGTCAATTCGCGGATTGTGTTGTCGCAGCCAATCACGGCCGAGTAAAATGTCGATTCCGTCGAGGGTTGTCGCGCGCATTTCCTGGCTAAACGTGAAGTTACCCCCGCATCGAATCCGAACCCGGTCTACGCGTTCCTGTATCGCTAGTGGCGTGCCGTCAACCAGTCTTACGTCGATCTCTGGTAAACATCTGTCCAGTGGCAGTCTCAGTTTTCGTGCCGTGGCGGTGTTGATCAGGCTGTGGCTGGCTCCGCCATCTACAAATATTTTAACTAAGTCTGTCCCAATTGTACCCTCCTTATTCTGCCGGGTGTGGTCGATTGCGTGAACCGGCACAATCACTCGGTGAGGGTCGGTTGGGTCGGGCGAGCGGCGTGACTTGTCACTAGAGGGCCCGTCCGCTACTGACTCCCAGCGTTTCCCTGCTGCTTGGTCTATTTCTGCTGCTCAGCTTCCCCATTTCCCTTAACGTTTTCCGGGCATTCACTCTTGCGGTGTTCCGGCCGATTGCACGTGAAGCAGCGCCCTTTGAACGGTGCGGCAGTGGCATTCGCGGCGACGGCACGTATCGTGGCGCCCTCGTTCGTCCCATGAGATTGATGTCCCCAGTTGATGTTGCTTCCGTAGGACCCCGGCCTCAGTCGGCAAAAGAAGTCGAGCTTCTCCGCCATGGCGAGAATTTCCTGGAAGTCGGTGACGCTGCGGAGCTGAATTTCTTGGGCGATATCATGCTTCAGGCCGCCGACGTAGCGGTCGATGCGCTCGCTTTCGTGCATGTATCCCACTTGCTCACATAGCGCTAGGAACCCGCTAGTTTAGTCTTGGACGGAACCGAGTTGGCGCCAAGTGCGGAGCTTCTGACGCGCCGCGATTGAAGCCGCAATTGGCTCAAATCGAGCGCGCAGACCTGCGCACCATGCGTCCCACGTGCGATATTGGGGCACCTCTACGAAATACGACGGCGCCCAGGGTCCGGTTTATCCTTCCCGTGTTGGTAGATTCGCGTAGTCCATCGGCTTCATGACGATGACGCGCCACCAGTCCATGGCGGGTCCTCGCAGCAGCGATACGGCGTAGCGAATCTTCGCCGTATCCTCAGAGACGTAGTTGGCGTAAAAAAATACGTTCAACGTGAACAACTACGCCTGAACGGTAGGACCACCCCGTTGACTCGGGTCAAAGCATGGCGGACGCTGCGACTTCAGCGGCATCGGTGACGACAGTGCCGAATAATTGGTCGGTGCCGAAATCATGACGCGAGGCTGGCTCCTGGCCGCATTCGTCGCTTCGGGGTGTGTCGTGCCGTGGTCGTCGTCTCCGTCGTGGCGGACGACGCCATCACTGGCCGCTCTCGCGGGTTGCCCCACACTTCCGTGCTGTGATGCCTGTGGTGCAGGTTGTCCCGGAGTGCCAGGTGCTTGTGATTGTGCTTGCTGTGCTCGTGCGACGTCATTTTGCAGGGACGTGCGTTCGGCCGATAGTGCCGCGATTTCTTCAGAGCTTTCGTGGAGTTGTCGCAGCAGCTCGTTCAAACGGTTTTGTGTAAGCGTCGTGACGTCGATATGTTCAGCCATAACGAAGGGCGTCGGCTCAGCTTAGTCTAGGCGCAGTCCTGGCTGCACGCGTTTACGAGAGAACGCGAGGACAGCGGCTCCTAGGTGCTAAGGGGCGTGAGTCCCTTCGAGTGAAAAAACAAAAGTTGATTTCCTGGGGTGTGGAGATGTGTGGTCCGAAAGAAAGTGGCTTTGATAACCAAGTGTTACGGGTGCAATGAATCGAGGTAGCGAGGATTGCACTAGAGTGTTCAATGAGTACCAAATATGAGCGAAGGCATGAGCGAATACTTTTACGCGAAAATTTGCAAACGGTAACGCGGTGTGTGCGAGCTAGCTAGTGCTACGCTGGCGCAAGGTTCGGGCTAGTCCCGAAGCGTAGGCCGACTCGGCTGCTCCAGCAGTGCGAGGTTTGGTGAAACAATGCGCGCGAAGTTGGCGAAGCCCCGTTAGCAGTAACGGGCGAACAACGGCTGCTGCTGTACGTGATGTGGACGGTCACGGTAAGGAATAGCGAGAAAATTCCTTACAATAACAGATGATGCACTAGGCAGTAGTACAACATTGAATGTAATACTGCACTTAAGAGTGTTAGAGCTGGTGTATAAACGAGCTTGGACCAGCTCATCCCCTTCTAAAAAGTGCCCCACAAAGCTATGGGTATAATGGATCCATTACTACAGTAAGCAAGCTTTCCTTCGTATAATGTGTTAGTACAAACTGAATGCATGAACAAACCCTCTCGTCCTTCTGACTGCACACACATAAAATTTCCTGCCTTGACAGACAAGACATAGAACAGTTCCCAGTATCATGCCACTGCTACATGTGCTGCTGGCTGATGCACAGAAGAGTCCCGCTTCATCCAAGACTTACAACAGAAAACATAGTAGCAGCAGAGTCCACTCCACTCCACACCTCTGCTACTTTTTCGCATACGGGTAACCCCAACGTACGCTTAGCAGCACGATGCTAATCATCCAAATCAACCACCTCAACTGGCCCTCTACCACCTCCACTTCCACCACCACTACCACTAGCTGCTGCTGCTCCTCCTCTTCCTCTTCCTCCCCTCCCCCCTCTCCCTCTCCCACTTGCTCCTCCTCGCCCTCTCCCCCCTGCCCCTCTCCCTCTCCCTCCCCCTCGACCTTTACCTGCCAGTGACTGAGCTCTACCCCCCTCTGTAAGCACCTCCATAAGGGGGACCTGTACACTTGGGGTGGCTGCAGCTGCGCTGGCTGGTACTGGGCCTTCTGCAAGCACAGAGAGTGCAGCAGCAGGTGCTGGGGCTCCTGCAGCAGGAACCAGGGGTGCAGTTGGTGCTGAGGGTGCTAGTGCAGGCGCTCCAGGTGCTTGTGAGACTGCTGGCGCTGCTGGTGTTGCTGGTACTGATGGTGTTGCAGCAGCTGCACTAGAAGGCGTTGCAGACGCAACAGCACGAGTAGAACGGCGGGATGGGAGCGGCGTGGCTGGGACAGGTGTGGCTGTGCTTGCGGGGGGGTTGGGGGTGGAAGAGGTGTGGAGAGGAGTGGAGAGCGGTGGGGATGCGGAAGGAGATGCATGGAGAGAGTATGGGTCAGAGGCAGCACCTGTTGGTGAGTGCAGCCCAGGGGGAATGGGAAGACCGTGTGAGTGAAAAGGTGGATTTTGAAATTTAAAAATAACCAGAACAAGGGGAACGGGACGATTGTGTGAGTGAAAAGCACGACACGAATCTGAACGTAATGGCAGACGAAACAAGCAAAAGAATTGAGGCAAGAAAGAGGATCGGATAAAGGCGAGACGATCCCATTTATGCGAGAGAGTTGAAATTGTAAGATTACAAGATGCAATTGAGGCGAGCTTACTTGGACTGTTGAACCCATTGCTGGTGTCGCCGTTATGTGCATTGCCACTGCTCGTGTTGCTTGTATCGCCTGCATCTGACACCGAGTCACCCAGTCGCAACCCGCCGACCTGCAAACCAAACGCCCCTCCTTCCTCCGATGATGTCATTTCAATCACAGGAGGCGATTCCCTCATGCCTCCTGCTGCTGCTGGCGACGGCGGTGGGAAGGGCGGTGACGGATCCACATCCTCTTGCTCTTGCTCTCCTCCCTGGCCTCCTGACCCCTCTGCATCGTTTTCTCCTTGTGCGTATGTATTTCCCTGTGCCTGTGTGCCTGCCTGTTCATTCGACTGTTGGGGAGAGGCAGCATCAGGAGGAGCAGCAGCAGCAGCTGTTGGTGGTACTGCTGCTGCTGATGCTGCTTGGGTGCGGGTGAGGCGGGAGGAGTGGCGGGGAGTGGACTGTCTTGGTGTTGGCGTGTCCACTGGCACTGCAGCCCTGCCCTTAGCTGCACACACACACAGGCAGGATAAGGGAGGGAGGCAACGATACAAGAAACCTGTAAGCAAGGGAATAAGAAGAAACGGACTAAAACAGAAGTTTCCTGCTTCTCTGTTCAATGCTTAACTGTTCACAAGCACTCACACTTTGCTGTTGTTGGTTCGAAGTCACTATCGTCCTCAGTCTCCTCCCCTTCATCCTCATCGTCCTCCTCACTCTCACTCCCCTCCTCTCCCTCCCTGTCCTCATCCATTTCCTCGCTTCCATCCGTAGCACCCTCCTCCCTCTTCTCTTCATTCTCCCCACTGCTCCCATCACTCGCTGCTCTGCTGCCTGTCCCGTCCACGTGTGGCCCATCTCCCATATCCGCATCAAGACCAGCAGCAGCAGCAGCAGCAGCAGCAGTAGCAGCAGTAGCAGCAGTAGCAGCAACACCACCAGTATCACCGCCAGCAGCAGTACCAGCAGCCGCACCAGCAGCCGCACCAGCAACAGCAGCAGCAGCAGCAGCACTTGAAGCAGCTCCCAGCCCCTTCCCCTTCCCCCACATGGTTCCCAGCAGTGTCTGCTGCTTTCCCTTCTGCTTCCCCTGCCTCTCTTCCTCCCCAAACCCTATACCACCCTGCGCCCTGTCCCCTCCCCGCCTTCCCCCATCTCCAATCCCTGTTTCTCCAACTGCTCCCTTTGCCTTCCCCCTGCCCCCTCCTCCTCCCCCTCCCCCGGTCCCCCCTCCGCCGGTTACCCCCGCCTTCTTCCCCCTGCTTGGCCCCCCTGCCTGCTGCTTGCCGCCCTTCCTCCCTGCTGCATTCCTACCACGTGCCTTGTGCTGATTGGCCGCTCGCTCCCTCTCCCTTTCATCCTCAGCCGCCTCTGCCTCCACTTCCTGTTGGACCGATCGTGTACACACTCACTCACACACACACATGCGCAGACGCCACACACACAGAACACACGCCACATGCACACACAGAACACACGCCACGTGCACACACAGAACACACGCCACATGCACACACAGAACACACGCCACGTGCACACACAGAACACACGCCACATGCACACACAGAACACACGCCACATGCACACACAGAACACACGCCACATGCACACACAGAACACACGCCACATGCACACACAGAACACACGCCACATGCACACACAGAACACACGCCACATGCACACACAGAACACACGCCACGTGCACACACAGAAACGCACATACCCACACGCACAAGATGCAGTTTAGTCAGAACTGGGTCCTCAGTCAATGCAACGGATGGCTCACTCTTGAGACGTCTCAAGGGGCGTCTGTCTATTCACAAGGATGCAGGGCAGTTTACTAAGCCCTGAGCCCAGGCCCAGGGTCAGTGCAACGAAATGGAACACGGAAATGGGAGAGCAGGTTGTCGAAACATGGCTAAGCTATGCCTCAACCATGTGTTCAACAACCCTTGATATGATTTTTTGGGAATTCTCGCTGGTTTTTAAGAATTCTCAAAAACCAGCTATGCCTCAAAACCTTGAGGTGAGGGAGGGTCATGATGAATCCACTAAGAGAAACTCTTGACTCTCCCTCACCTCAAGGGCCTCCAATTTAAATCTCTCCCCCCCCCCACAGCTGCAGGGGCGACGTGGCCTGCAGCAGCACCACCCCACTCAACAACACACACGGCTGTGATAACACACGCATGCACATCGCCTCCTCTCTCAATCCCTCACCTCGAGGGTCTCCAGAAACAGGTCAAGGTCTCTCTCCCACAGCTGCAGGGGCGAGGTAGCCTGCAGCAGCGCTACCCCACTCACCACACACACAGACGATGATGCATTCAAACACGCACAATCCTCTCTCCTTCCCTCACCTCGAGAGTCTCCAGAAACAGGTCCAGGTCTCTCTCCCACAGCTGCAGGGGCGAGGTAGCCTGCAGCAGCACCACCCCATTCAACCACACGCAGAGACGATGATATGCAATCATAAATACACGCACAATGATTCCCCATCCCTCACCTTGAGGGTCTCCAGAAACTGGTCCAGGTCTCTCTCCCACAGCTGCAGGGGCGACGTGGCCTGCAGCAGCACCACCTCCTCCTGTGCACAGATGATACACACAGCACCACACAGCACCACACAGTACCACACAGCACCACACAGCACCACACAGCGCCACACAGGCACCATACTCCCTCTCACCTCGAGGGTCTCCAGAAACTGGTCCAGGTCTCTCTCCCACAGCTGCAGGGGCGAGTTCGCCTGCAGCACCACCACCTCCTCCTATGCACAGATGATACACACAGCACCACACAGCACCACACGGCACCACACAGTATCACACAGCACCACACAGCGCCACACAGGCACCGTACTCCCTCTCACCTCGAGAGTCTCCAGAAACAGGTCCAGGTCCCTCTCCCACAGCTGCAGGGGCGAGGTCGCCTGAAGCACCACCACCTCCTCCTCCTTGCCCCGCCTCTCCCTCTCCAACTGCTCCACGCGCTCCCACGTCAGGCTCCAAAGAGCCATCCCCAGAAGATACTCATACGCTGCTGCCGCTGGTGGTGCTGCTGCTGCCGGTGCTGTTCCCGCTGCTGCTGCTTTTCCCGCTGCTCTTGCTGTGTTTTTTCCCTTCCCTGTCTTTTGTCCTGCTGGTGCCTCCACGTCATCCATCTCCACGTCAGCATGCACGTCCTCCCCATCCGCGCTGACGTCAGTGCTGCCCGGGTCCACGTCAGCAACCACCACAGGGGCGGCAGCGTGGCCCTTGGGGAGAGGGGTGAAACCACGCGCCTGAGGAAGGTCAAGAGGAAGGGGGGGAGAAACGAGGGGAGCGAATGGGGGGAGATGGTGATGGAAAGGAGGATGAGATAGAGGAGTAGCCTTTTGGTGGGGGGAGAAGGAAGGGCAACTCCGTCAAAGAGGGTGAGAGACCACGGGCCTGGGAGGGTGTAAGAGGAAGGGAGAGGAAAGGGCACAAGCACAGCACCTCAACCACAGCCGGCACAATCCGTGACTGTTTCACATGCATGGACCCAGAACTCCGATTCTCACCTTGAGCTGTGCCACGATGTCAGCCTGCTTCCTGTTAGTGATCACCACATCCCCTTGAATCACCGCCCGCACGAAGCGAGCTCGGTTGTCCAGCCGCAGCAGCTCGTGCCGCAGCTGCGCCACTTGGTGCTCCTTCCTCTGCTCGTAGTACCCCAGGCGGATGCCGTAAAAGTCTTCAATGACTTAGGGAGGGTGAGAGACAGGGAGGGAGAGGGGCAGGAAGAGTAAGGGAAGGCCAGCTCGTGGCACAGATGCGACAGCTGGTGCTCCTTCCTCTGTTCGTAGTACCCCAGGCGAATGCTGTAAAAGTCCTCGATAACTGTTGACAACGAGAAATAGGGAGGGAGAGGCAGGAAGGCGGTACGGAGTAGTCAGCTCGTGTCGCAGCTGTGCTAGCTGGTGTTCCTTCCTCTGCTCGTAGTACCCCAGGCGGATGCTGTAGAAATCTTCAATGATTGACGAGGGTGAGAAGAAGGGAGAGAGAGGCAGGAAGGCGGTACGGAGTAGTCAGCTCGTGTTGCAGCTACGACAGCTGGTGCTCCTTCCTCTGCTCGTAGTACCCCAGGCGGATGCTGTAACCGTCCCCGATTACTGATGACACGCAAGCAGCAGTAAAGGGAAGGGCGTAAGGGAAAGGACGTAAGAAGAAGGGGTTAAGGGAAGGGCAGCTCGTGGCGCAGATGAGCCAGCTGGTGCTGGTTGCGCTGCTCATAGTACCCCAGGCGGACGCTGTAGAAGTCTTTTATTACTGATGACGGAAAGCAGCGGACGGACGTTAGGGGAAGGAGGTACGAGAAGAACAGCTTGCGGTGCAACTAACTGAGCCAGCTGATCCTGGTTACGCTGCTTGTAGTACCCCTGGCGGATACCACAAAAGTCCTCGATTACTGATGACAGCAAGCCGCGGAGAGAGGGCGGGAAGGCGGTGAAGTGAAGGAGGAAAGAGGCACACCCACAATCCCTTGACTCACTCACTCTCTTCCGGGCTGTCTTATCTCTTCATGCGCCCATCTGCATCAAACAGGTGCATACTGGCTGTATTCCCCCCCCCACACAGCATCAGCGCCTTCTCCCACGCCCACACTGCCTACCCACCCACGCACTCCCGTCACTCACTCTCTTCCGGGCTATCATATTTCTTCATGCGCCCCGCTGCATCAAACAAATGCATGTTGCCCGTGTTCATCGTCGTCGTCAGCTTCAACCTCTTCTCCATCACAGCCCACTGCGCCCTCGCCCTCCTCTCCTCCCTCTCCCTCCTCGCCTCCTCCCCCTCCTCCTCCTCTTGCCCCTCTGCTCTCTGCCCCTCAACCCCTCCCACTCCTCCCACCATTCCCTCCCCTACGTCTCCACTCACAGGCGACCTTGCACCCGCTTCCGGGTCTTCACCCTCAGGAAAACCCACCCCAGCAGCAGCACCACCAGCTGCTGCTGCCGTTGCAGCAGCACCAGTGGCAGTACCAGCAGCAGTTGCAGCACCTGCCCCCGCCGCCGCCGCCGCAGCAGCAGCAGCAGCAGAGGCAGCAGCAGCCGCTGTGGCACTTCCTCTCCTCGCTCCCACCGTCCCTCCCTCTCCCATGAAATACGCTGCTCCTTCAGCAGTAAACTCAACCTCAAAATGAACCGACGTATCAGTATGATACTCCCTCATATCCTTAACCAGCGCCACCTTTCCCCCTCCCTCCCCACCACCATGACCACCCGCTCCTCCCATCATCCCTTCTAGAAACTCCTTATAGGTCTGGGTCCAGGTTCGGATGGGGAGCTCTGTGATCGTGACACCTGTCACACCCTGCTGGGGCTGCTTCTCGCCCTTGCGCCCGCCGCCGCCGCCGCCGGTCAATCGTGTCGCGACACCTGTCACGGTGTAGGAGTTGCCTCCTCCCTGCCGTGCTGACGTCAGCTGGATGGAACCCTGGGTGGTTAGAGGGAGGTAGGGTAGTGGAACAGCGAAAGAATGGGTGGACACAGCTGGATGGGACACATTGATGCGAGAAGTGGAGGAAGAATTGTTTTGAGACGTCTCAAAACACTTTTATTATCACGTGAACGAGGGGGTGGACACAGCTGGATGGGACACATTGATGCGACAAGTGGAGGAAGAAGCAGCATATTCTCATCGCATCCCTGCCACCTGCTTTTCTCTCCCCTCCCCCCCCCCCCACCTCCCCATACCCTCCCCCCTCCCTTACGGACCTTGAAGCCGCGGAACCAGGGGTGCATGGGCAGCATGGGTTCGCCCCTCATGCGCCTCTTGAGGTTCGCCACCACGTCCCGCGGGTTGAACGTCGGCACGTACGAACTCCACCCCGTGCCGATGCCCTCACTGCCATTTATCAGCACCAGGGGCAGGATGGGCACGTACCTGGGAAGAGGTAAGTAAGGGGAGGGGGAGGGGTGGGAGGGCAAGACAAAGGGTTGAACGTGGGCACATACGAGCTCCACCCCGTGCCTATTCCTTCACTCCCATTGATCAGTACCAAGGGCAGGATGGGGACGTACCTGGGAAGAGGGGAAGAGGGGGAGGGGGAGGGGTGGGAAGAGTAAGACAAAGGGAAGGAAAGAGGGCACGCACGAGCTCCACCCCGTGCCGATGCCCTCGCTGCCGTTAACTAACACCAGGGGCAGTATGGGGACGTACCTGGGAGCTGGGGATGGTTGAGGAGGGCAGGGATAGGAGGAGAGAGGACAGTAAGCAAGTAGTAGAGCACATGGGGCACGTACGAGCTCCACCTCCTTCACCGCCGTTGATTAGAACCATGGGCAGGATGGGGACGTACCTGGGAGGAGGGAGGGTAAGGGGAGGGGGTTGGAAAGAGGCACAACGGGCACGTGCGAGCTCCACCCTGTGCCTATATCTATTCCCTCAATGCCGTCACTGCCGTTGGCGGAGGGCTTTTGAGACGTCTCAAAAGGTTGGAAAGAGGCACAACGGGCACGTGCGAGCTCCACCCTGTGCCTATTCCCTCAATGCCGTCACTGCTGCTGGGGGAGGGGGGATGGGTGGGTATGGGTGGGGAGGGCAAGGATAGAGGGAACGAGGGCAGAAAGCGGGGTGAGTGTTGGCAACGTACCCCCTGATAGGAAAGAGTGTGTGGGGTAAGGGGCGCATTAGTGAGTATCGATTCCACACGTCAACTCAATATGCATCAACATCAACACTGGCCCCTCTTGGGTTGACTCAACCAAGGGAATCCCCAGAAGCTCACCACTTGGGTTCGATCCTCTGCCTGTCATGCTCCAGATACTCCAGCAAGGCGCCATGCGCCACACACCATGTGTTATGAGTCGACTCAAAAGTAGACCCCAGCAGGGCGCCATGCGCCACACACCACCACAACAGCCCCCATCTGCCATTGGGGCTTCACAACACATCCCACCCACCCCTCACCCCCCCCACATCCTTCCTTCTTCCCCCCCCATCCTATCAGCAGCTCACCATTTGGGTTCGATCCTCTGCCCGTCGTCATCCAGGTAATCCAGCAGTGCGTCGTCAGCCACGGGGAAGATGACACGTGTCAGCCTGTGCAGGCGTGTGTAGATGTACCTGGGGCTTGCCGCGTCCTTGCCGCCCTGCGGTCAGACAGATAGGAGGGACAGAGAAGAGGAAGAGAGGAGAGAGAGGGGAGAGAGGAGGGATGGGAGGGAGAGGAGGGAGAGGAGGGAGAGGAGGGAGAGGAGGGAGAGGAGGGCGAAAAGGGCGAGGAGGGCGAGGAGGGAGAGGAGGGATAGGAGGGAGAGGCGGGAGAGGCGGGAGAGGAGGGAGATAAGGGAGAGAAGAGAGAGGAGGGAGAGGAGGGAGAGGGGGTAGGGGAGGGAGAGGAGGAAGAGGTGGGAGAGGAAGGAGAGGAGGGAGAGGAGGGAGAGAAGGGAGAAAAGAGAGAGGAGGGAGAGGAGGGAGAGGAGGGAGGGGAGGGAGGGGAGGGAGAGGAGGGAGAGGAGGGAGAGGCGGGGGAGGAGGGAGATAAGGGAGAGAAGAGAGAGGAGGGATAGGAGGGAGAGGAGGGAGAGGAGGGAGGGGAGGGAGAGGAGGGAGAGGCGGGAGAGGAGGGAGAGGAGGGAGAGGGTGGAGGAGAGTAAGAGGAAGGAGAGGCTGGACAGGAGGGAGAGAAGGGAGAGAAGGGAGAGGAGGGAGAGGAGGGAGAGGAAGAGAAAGGCGGTGACAGGGCAGAGAGATGGAAGAGGGCGCAAACACATCAGCATGTGCTAGCGCTTGTAGATGTACCTGGGACTCAATCCGTCCCTTCCACTCCTGAGGCATACCCACAGGAGGTAGCCAAGGGCGGACAGGGCAGAGAGATGGAAGCGAGGAATGCGATACTAACGAAACCAGGGCTCTTTGCCCTTTTTCCACTGCCATTCCGCCCCCTACACCCCCTACCCTCTACCGTCTCTGCCCCCTACCCTATGTCCTCCGCCCTCTGCCCCCCGCCCTCTGCCCACCGTTCTCCCCTACTGTTCTCACCTGCAGCCAGCCAGGTGCCGAACTGCACAGAGGCTGTTTTTTGAGAATTCGAAAAAATGCCGAACTGCCCAGAGGGCACGCGCAGGTTGACGTTGTTGCTGCCCACGTAGTCCCACAAAGCCCCACCAGGTTCACAATGGTGCGCATCCTACTCTCTGCCCTCTCCGCTCTGCACTCTGCCCTCTGCCCTCGTCTGCCCTCTCATCTCACCTGCACGCGAGTGCCGAAATGTCCAGAGGGCACGAGCAGTTTGATATTGTTGCTGCCCACAAAGTCCCTGTGAGTTCACGATGGTGCTCCTTCCAATTCTATGCTCTCTGTCCTCCGCTCTCTGCTGTCTTGCACTCAGCCCAAACATCTCACCTGCAGACTTTTGAGACGTCTCAAAAAAACATCTCACCTGCCGGCGAGTACCAAGCTGCCCTGACAGAACAAGCAGGTGGACGTTGTTGCTGGCCACAAAATCCTGGGCGAGGTTCACAATGGTGCTCATCAGACTCTGCTCCCTCACCCCCCTGCTCTCTGTGCTGTGCCCTCTGCCCTCCGCCCTCTACCCATCTACCCTCTCCCCTCCGCCCTCTACCCCCCCTTTGCCCTCTGCTCCGTGCGCTCCCCCCATCTCACCTGCAACCGAGTACCGAACTGGCCCGAGGGCACGAGCAGGTGGACGTTGTTGCTGCCCACAAAGTCCTGGGCGAGGAATGGTGCTCATCAGACTCTGCTCCCCGTGGTGGTACGCCCTCTGCTCTCTGCCCTATGCCCTCCTCCCTCCGCCCACTGCTCTATGTGCTCTCTGCCGTCTGCCCACTACCCTCTGCCCTCTACCCTTTGACCTCCCTGTGCCCTTGCCCCATCTCACCTGCAACCGAGTACCGAACTGGCCCGAGGGCACGAGCAGGTGGACGTTGTTGCTGCCCACAAAGTCCTGGGCGAGGTTCACAATGGTGCTCATCAGACTCTGCTCCCCGTGGTGGTACGCCGCGTGCTCTGACACGTACCCTGCCAGTTGCGCCACCTGCATGCACGGATAGATAGAAAGCGCCAGGGAGAGAAGGGCGGGGAGAGGAGGCGGGTTGGGGCCAGCAGTGCTCATCAGACTCTGCTCCCTGTGGTGGTATGCCGTGTGCTCTGACACATACCCTGCTAGCTGCGCCACCCCCGCACACAAGGATCGAAAGGAAGAGGGTGAGGGTGGGAGGTGATGATACTAGCAGTGGCGATCCTGCCATCTCTGCTCCCCATGGTGGTAGATTGGATGCCCCAACAGGTATCCTGCCAGCTGAGGCACTGGAAAGGTTGAAAGGGTGCCAGAAAGCGAACAAAAAAACAAACAAACAAGCAAACAAGAAAGAGGAAATGATCTTCCCTATTATGGGATCATGAATGCAGCATGGGCCATGCTGGCCATGTGCCATGCTCGCCATGTGCCATGCTCGCCATGGGCCATGCTCGCCATCGGCCATGCTCGCCATGTGCCATGCTCGCCATGTGCCATGCTCGCCATGGGCCATGCTCGCCATGTGCCATGCTCGCCATGTGCCATGCTCGCCATGGGCCATGCTCGCCATGTGCAATGTATCATGCTTCATGCGCCATGCCATCTTGTCCTCTCACGTGTGCCCTCAGCAGAAGGAAGGCACACACATCGAGACCCACCTTAATCTCCGAGTGCAGCTTGCGCTTGAAGCACGAAAACAGAATCTTCCTCCTCCCTCATCCATTCACCTTCGTCTCATTCACACTGCATGTACGCGCACACTCTGCTGCACTGGCTACCCACCTTGATATCCGAGTGGAGCTTGCGCTTGAAACAGGCAAAGAGGATATTCCATTGATGTACCTGTTGACCCTCCTCGCCTTCCACTGCATGTGCGTGTACATACACACGCCCTGCAGCCCAAAGCGCCCAACCACCTTGATATCCGAGTGCAGCTTGCGCTTGAAGCAGGCAAACAGGATATTCCGCTGCCCCGGCTTCAGCCCATCGACGACGGAGGGGATGGAGCGCATGTTGTATGCCAGGCAAGGCAGTGCAATCATCCCTAGCGTAGAGTAAAGGGTGTCCGGAACAGCTACTCCCCCGCACTGCTCATGCCGCAGCACCCACCTTGATATCCGAGTGCAGTTTGCGCTTGAAGCAGGAGAACAGAATCTTGCGCTGCCCCGGCTTCAACCCGTCCACCACGGAGGGGATGGAGCGCATGTTATCAGCGAGCGAGTAGAGGATGAGCTCCTTGTCCACAAAGTCACTGTAGCTGATGCGCTGCGCCGTCTGGTCCAGGTACGTGCCGGGCTGGGGGAAATGGGGGACAGCAGGGGCAATGGGAGGCGAGAAACGGGGGAACAAGGGATTTGGAGGATGGGGGTAACGGTGGGCGTTTCAGCGACAGTCAACATCATGGGATGGGGCAGGGAGGAGGGTATGAGGGGCTTGACGGAGGGGATGGAGCGCATGTTATCAGCGAGCGAGTAGAGGATGAGCTCCTTGTCCACAAAGTCGCTGTAGCTGATGCGCTGCGCCGTCTGATCCAGGTACGTGCCGGGCTGGGGGCATGGATGGAAGGGTGATGGGAGGGGCGATGGGAGGCAAGAAATGGGGGAACTGGGGATTTGGAGGATGGGAAGGGAGGGAGTGACGACGGGTGTGTCAGCGGCCACTGCTTTGGCCGCTGACACCAGGCATCCACGGCCTTAAGATTGAACACCATCTCGATCGGCTCCCCATCGCCCTCCCTCCCCCACCCAAGTCCCTCCCCTTCTTTCACACCCCTTACTTTCAACACCACCCTTTCCTACCCTGCTCTTACCTCATAGGAGCGCAGCCACTGCTTCTGGGCATCCACCGCCTTTTTACTTTAACGCCACCTCAATCCACTCCCCGTCGCCCTCCCCCACCCAATCCCTCCCCCCTCCTGCACTCTTTCACACCCCCGCTTTTCGCAACTGCCATCCCTCCACTTCGCTCACCTCATAGGAGCGCAGCCACTGCTTCCAGGCATCCACGGCCTTTTTACTGAACGCCATCTCGATCCGCTCCCCATCACCCTCCCCCCGCCACTCAAAATCAATCCAGTCACAACAACACTCGCTCTTCCTCCGCTCACCTCATACGACCACAGCCACTGCTTTCTCGCATCCACGGCTTTCTTACTAAACGCCATCTCGATCCGCTCCCCATTCTCCCCTTCCCACCTCTCCGCTCACCTCATAGGACCGCAGCCACTGCTTCCGGGCATCCACCGCCTTCTTACTAAACGCCATCTCGATCCGCTCCCCGTCGCCCTCCCCCCCCCACTCAAAGTCCTTCCTGTGCCGGTCCAGCTGTGCGAAATACTCCTTCGCTTCTTTAGGCGTGCTCGTGCCCAGACCCTTGTAGTACTTCACCTTCCACTGCCTCGCGTCCGAGCCTAAGGTCCGTTTCCAAGCCTCGTACTCAGGTATGGTATAGAAGGCGAGTGTGCGGCCTCTGGGCCCGGTGGCTTTGACGATTGGGGTGATGAATTCGCGGAGGAAGGAGGGGTGCTTGAGCAGGGAGGGCCAGCAGGAGTGCAGCAGGTTGATCAAAAGCCCCTTGATGTGGGACCCATCGTGGTCCTGGTGGGTGGGATGGGAGTGAGTGGTGAGGGCAGAGGAGACATGCCCGATGGAGTGAATGATGGTGCTGAGAGGGAGGAAGAGAAGAAACGAAAGCAAGAGGGGTGTTTGAGGAGAGAGGGCCAGCAGGAGTGCAGCAGGTCGATCAAAAGCCCCTTGATGTGGGATCCGTTGTGGTCCTGGTGGGTGGGATGGGAGTGAGTGACAAGGGCAGAGGAGACAGGGAGAAATGGGAGTGAGTGGTGGTATGGTGAGAGAGGAAGGAAAGAAGGAACAAAGAAAGGAGGGGTGCTTGAGGAGGGGAGGACCAGCAGGAGAGGAGAGCAGGAGATTGAGGAGATGTGGGACCCGTCGTGGTCGTGGTGAGTGGGAAGGGCATGGACCAGGGGGGAAGAGAAAGGCGGTCGGAGGATAAGAGTGATTGGATTGTCGTGATGCAAGGAGGAACGAAGGTGAGGATGAAAGATAAGGAAGTCATGATCGTCAGGACATGTTGCGTTTTGAGACGCCTCAAAACAAGACATGTTGCGCATCAAATCAGGTGACGGACAGCCACCAAGCACTCTCACATGGACTGTCATGATCATTAAGTGCCCGTATAGTTCTTTCCTTGCTGCAAACCCAGGATCTGCTTCAGAAGACCTAATTTAGTGTTCTCCATCATAGGCCAGTGATGGTCTCTTAGCCACAATCCATACGTACACATACAGCATCCCTCAGCATCGCTCACGGTCTCACCTGGTCAGTCATGATCATGAGGTGCCCGTATCTGAGGGCCTTCACGCTCTCATAGCCCCAGGATCTGCTGCAGCCCCATGCTGCAGCCCCTGGATCTGCTTCAGATGGCCGATCTCAGTGTTCTCCATCATCTGTCGGTGCCAGTTATGATCCCTTGGCACCACCCCCCTTTCCACCATCCATACACCCACCACCACCCCTCACCTGGTCGGTCATGATCATCAAGTGTCCGTATCTAAGAGCCTTCACGCTCTCATAGCTCTTGCCATGCTGCAGGCCCAGGATCTGCTTCAGGTGTCCTATCTCAGTGTTCTCCATCATCTGTCTGTGTGATGCATCCCTCACGTTCAGCAGCTTGCCTCGCAGGGGGAACACGCCGTAGCGATCGCGACCCACCACACTCAGCCCTGACACCTGGAGGGATGGATGGATGGATGGAGGGAGGGAGAGAGGGAAGAACGCGAGAATTCACTTTCGCCTGCCCCCGCCCCCCCCCCCAAAAAAAAAAACAAGTGGAGTGCTGCTCCGCATTCCTGCTGCTTGCCACCTGGCCACCTGGCCTCGTTGGAATCGTCCAGCTTCACTATCCCCGACACTCGTTGCCTCTTGCCATTCACCCCACATCCCCCAGTTTCCTTTCCTACCCTATAAAAATGAGATTGAAGTGGCTCTCTCACCGCAAGAGTCTTGGCAGAGTCCCCTTCAGTAAGAATGAGCGTGCAGTGCTCCGCATTCCTGCCGCCCGCCTCGTTGGCATCATCCAGCTTCACTATCCCCGACACGCGCTGCCTCTTGCTGCCATCGCTGCGCTTGAGGTCCTTGGTCTGCTTGTGCGCTGCTAGCGACAGCAGATGCTCCACTATGCCGCACTTGGCCGCCACTGGTAGATGGTGGGGGGGAGAGAAAGGCAAGAGGGGTGGTGAAAAGAGGGGAGAACGATCACTCTTGCTGCCATCGCTGCGCTTGAGGTCCTTGGTCTGCTTTTGCACTGCTAGGGGCAGCAGATGTTCTACTATGCCGCACTTGGCAGCCACTGGTGGGGTGGAAAGGGGAAGAGAGACAGGTAGGGTGGTTTGAACAGGGGAGAACCATCACTTGCTGCCTCTTGCTGCCATCGCTGCGCTTGAGGTCTTTGGTCTGCTTGTGCGCTGCTAAAGATAGCAGATGCTCCACTATCCGGCACTTGGCAGCCACTGGTGTGAGATAAAGGGAAGAGAGAGAGACATGTAGGGCGGTGGAGAGAGGGGAGAAAAACCACTTGCTGCCTCTTGCTGCCGTTGCTGCGCTTGAGTTCCTTGGTCTGCTTGTGCGCTGCTACGGAAAGCAGATGCTCCACTATGCCGCACTTGGCAGCGACTGTGGTAACAGAAAGGTGAGTCGGGGGGTTGCAAAGAGCAGAAAGATGAATGGGCTGCCTCTTTCTGCCGTCGCTGCACTTGAGGTCCTTGGTTTGCTTGTGTGCCGCTAATGACAGCAGATGCTCCACTATGCCGCACTTGGCAGCAACTGGTGTGTGGGAGGAAGGAAGGAGAGACATGTAGGGGGGTGGAAGAGGGGAGAACGATCACTCTTGTTGCCTCTTGGTGCCGCCACTGCGCTTGAGATCCTTGGGGTCTGCTTGTGCGCTGCTTGCGGCAACAGATGCTCCACTATCCCGCACTTGGCAGCGCCTGATGGGGTCTCACAAATTCCACCCTTTCCAGTGTGCTTGTTTTTCCGTACCTTTCTTGAGAAAGTCTTCCGAGAGGTGGCACTTGGAGCTTAAGTTAATCAGAGGGGCGTGTGGTCTGAGGCACCTCACAGATCCCATCCCTTGCAAAACAGCGTACCTTTTTTGAGAAAGTCTTCAGAGAGGTGGCACTTGGAGCCAAAGTCAGAGGGGCGTGTGTTGAGCGTCTCCTTGGTCTGCGAGTCAAAGGCTGGATTCACCACCAGGCAGTTCACAAACACCCACAGCTGACTGCGCACCTGTGCAGAGGAGATAAAAAGGGAGGGACATAGGCAAGCAAAGGAAGGTACAGGGCACAGAGGGGCGTGCGGGTGTTGAGCGTCTCCTTGGTCTGCGAGTCAAAGGCCGGGTTAACCACCAGGCAGTTCACAAACACCCACAGCTGGCTGCGCACTGAGAAGGGGAGGGGCATGTGTTGAGGGGCATGTGTAGGCAAGCAATGCAAGGTACAGAGCACAGAGGGGCGGGTGTTGAGTGTCTCCTTTGTCTGCGAGTCGAATGCCGGATTCACCACCAGGCAGTTCACAAACACCCACAGCTGACTGCGCACCTGCGGAGAGGGGAAGTAGGGGGGAGGGGAGGCAGGGAAAAGGGGATTGAAAGTGAGAAGAAAGTGCATTCAGACGTCTCAGAACAGCCACCAGGCAAGCAGGCAGCAGGCAAGCAGGCAGCAGGCAGCAGGCAGCAGGCAGCAGCACGTTGCTGCTATCGAGCCACACATAACTCTTTTTCCCAATCGCTCCCCTCCCCTCCCCACCACCCCCATCTCCTCTCCCTCTGCTCACCTGGTGCTGTTTGATGGCAGCGGCGCCATTGGCGGACCCGTGCTTGCCAGTGGCAGCCTTCTTCTGCACCTTGTCCAGCAGGTACCGTACGATCTGCCCCCCCCCTTTGCCCCACTCATGCGTTGCCTACCACTATCTCCCTCACTCGCTCTCCCAGTCCACCCCTCCCCCTCTAGCGCTCTCTCTCATTCGCTTCCAGAACCAATCCCCCCCCACTGTTCTCTTTCACTGGCCACCTAGATCCCCTCACCTGGTGAGGCTTGATGGCAGCAGCGCCACTGGCGGACCCGTGCTTGCCAGTGGCAGCCTTCTTCTGCGCCTTGTCCAGCAGGTACCGCACAATCTGCTCTGATACCATGTTCACGTGCGTGCCTCCTCTCGTGGTCGCGATGGCGTTCACGAAGCTGACCTGCAGGCACGGGATCAGGCATGGGCTCAGGCTTAAACTCAGGCTCGGAACTGGCTATCCCGGGGAAGCAGGCACGCGCGCAAACACACACACAACACACACACAAACACCCACCAACCACACACACACACACACAAAAACACCGACACAAACACCCACCCACACCCCCTCCCTCCCCCCACACACACACACGCACATCTCTCCCAGCATACACGCTTTCGTGCCCATTCAACCCTTAACCCGTACCTTCCCCTCCCCATCGACATTACCTGTTGGAACTGCCCATCGCTCGTAGACACACACACCTCCCAGCAGTCGTTCACCCTCTCGTGGATCCTGCAGGATCAAATGGCGGCCATTAGTTGCAAATCGCGGACGCAGTTGTGGTTTAGGATTCTCATAAAAAAATCGACAGAGTAATGCGGCTGGTGAACTTATGCAAGACAACCCCATCAGATAGCTCACCCCAGGGAATTATGGTGTCATCGCAAACTCTTAGGGCGTATTCCAGCTCGTGTCATGGGCACTGTGCAAGGCTACTGTTCATGTCATCCGGAAGCCACGGATGGGGAAGCGTGGTTTCCGGATGACACGAACAGTGGCCTTGAACAGTGCCCATGACACGAACTAGAATACGCCCTTAGGAGTTTCACGGGTGGTCAATAAGAGAAACACGGACCTTGGGAGCTTCTCATGAGTTGAAGGATGAGCAGTTGCTGCTGCCGCTGCTGCTGCCGCTTCTGCTGCAGACACGCCTCCTTCCGCCCGTGCCCCCTCCCCCCCGCCACTCCCCCCTTCCCCTGACGACGGCGGAGTGGCAGGGGGTTGCGGGGTGGGCGGCGGGGGAGGGGCAAGATACAACCCCGCGTAATCCGCAAACGATTTCACAGGCACGCGCGTACCATTCAGCATGACTTTCACGGATTTCCCCAGGCACCCTGCCACGTCAACGACACGTCGGCTCATGAGTGCCACGTGGTCTGCGTCTAGAGAATCGAGGCCGAACTTGGCCAAGTCCGGGTGGAAGGTAATGGAGGTGAAGTTGTCGGTGGGCTTGCAGTCTTTTATTACTGGGGCCTTCTTGACGCTCATGTTCTGTGAAAAGACCTGTTGAGGGGAGGGAGGCAGCGGGAAAGAGATATGATCAGAGAAGCAGATTGCATGCAGGATAGCACCTAGAAGGTGATGGAGGTGAAAATGTCAGGGGCCAACCCTTTCTTCTCTGAATGTACCTGCGCAGGTAGCAGGGTGCCTCCTTGAACAGCTGCCGTCATCCTTTTCAACGCCTTTTCAACGCCTCCTCCCTGAATGTGTTCACTCTCACGCACCTGTTTGTACTTCTGATTCGACTGGAGAGTCCACCCTAGCGCCTCCTTGCGCCAGCACCTGCTGGTACTTCTTCTGTCGTCCCCACCACGAACCCGGTGGAAAAAGTATTCGCCATATTCGCGCCGTACCTTGGCAAGCGGTCTTCGATAATTCCAAAAACCATCTTTCTGACGTACTTGCTTGTACTTCTTCTGCCGGCTGCCGTCTGCCGTCTCCACCACAAACTCCGTGCTGAAGATGTTCGCCAGCTTCGCGCCGTACCGTTTTTCTTACCCAAGAATGCTCTACCTGCGCACGTACCTGCTTGTACTTCTTCTGCCGGCTGCCGTCTGCCGTCTCCACAACAAACTCCGTGCTGAAGATGTTCGCCAGCTTCGCGCCGTATCCGTTGCGCCCGCCCGTGGTCTTGCGCGCCGAGTCGTCGTAGTTGCTGCTCGTCAGCAGGTGGCCGAAGATGAGCTCCGGCACGTAGCATCCCTCCTTCGCGTGAACCTCCACGGGAATTCCACGACCGTTGTTCCACACCTGCGAGTGGGAGTGGTACGACGGGGTGCAGATAAAGCATACGGTGCAGGTCTCATTAAGGCACCAAGTGCCTGAAGATCAGCTCCGGCACGTAGCACCCCCCTTCGCGTGCACCTCCACGGGAATCTTCTGGCCGTTGTTCCACACCTGCGAGTGGTGGGAAGGGGTGCAAACAAGACATGCTGTGCAGTCAGAACAGTTCGTGGCACCAGTTAGATACACAAATGTAGGTGCATTCAATCCAGAACACACGTGCAGGACGAACCACGAATCTCCTAGGTGGCTTCAGTTACACTGTGCTGGTCCAGTCAGCACGAGGTCTAACCGACATCGCCGCTCCTCATTGTCGACCGTGTCTAGTACTCTTTTTTTTGGCGCCTGGATAGCATACAGCTCCAGTTAGGAGAAGGCCTAATGGTGTATCGTTCATCAGTGACAACGGTGTCAGTCTCAGTGGACAGTCCTACTCGGTCCAGCCAAACACGCACAACCCCAAGGTCCAATCCGCACACCACAAGCCATTTACCTGAATCTTATTCTTGGCAGTATCGATGGTCACTTTAATAGCGTCCATGCTCGGGTCGCGCTGCTTGTTATCCGCCGCATTCACCAGAATCTCGTCAAAAATCTTATACAGCCCCGGAACCATCCGAACCTCGCGGTGTACCATCCGACCCTGCTCCCAAACCCACTGCGGACCCACGTGCGTCTGCACCGAACCTATGTACGTGTCCGGGCGGAGGAGCACGTGCTCTAGCGGCGTCTTGCGCTGATAAGTCTCCTCGATCGTCTTTCCATCTGGACCGACGTCGTTGGGGGTTTCTACTAATGGGGTTCTGTCAGCGGAGGGTAAGGGGGTTGCTGGCGAAGCGGCGGTGGTGCGAGGTGCTTTTTTAGTGGTCCGTGGAGTGCTGCTCGGGGCCTTACGCTTCTTTGCGGTTTTTGGTGTCGCCTCCTCGGGAATATACTGCGACCGGGCGAAACAACGAAGGCATGTTCAGTAATCGTACAGTTGGTCAAGATGACTAACAAAGAAAGAAAAATCTAGTGAGCTATCCGCACTGTGACTTACCTCGTCCTCGCTTGAATCGCCCGCCATACTCGTCTTCTGTTTCCTGTCCTAAGCTGCAGGGCTACGAATGAGGGCGCAAGAGAAGTAGAATGCTAATTCGTCTACCACAGCCCAATATAGAGATGCTAATTTCACATTAGACTCTGCCTTCTCCTTGAAAGCTGCTCAGTCTTGAGGGAGATGGTAGAACCATGGAACCTGGAACTTGTTCACAAGCAAATCCCAAGGGCATGCTTCTGAGAGCCAGGGCTTGGAAAGATTGTTGAGAGAAGACCAATGGATGCAACCGTACCGCACGCTGAGGCAAGGGACAAAACACAGCCACGAGGCTCGACGGCCAGTTCGGCGCTGGTGGGTAGTTCGGTTCGGCATGGTGGCTGTTAGAGAAAGCACGCCCATGCGTGGCGGGAAAACGAGTCGCGTCTCTCGAAATTTGAACGGGAGGCTCGGAGTCGCCGAGCCGATTAGAGATGTGGCAAGGCGAGGGCTGCGTGACCTTGAAGTCTCAATTTGAATGGCCAAATTATACGCGCCGGAGCCGCCCCATAAACATACAATGGGTTGTAAAGTGGCAGATAATATTACAACGTTAGACCCACTACACATGCATAACAAAAATACATACAGGTTCTCAAGTGGTCCTAATCCAGAAAATACAAAATAGCATGCAGGCAAACATACTAGCATCATCCGCACAACACCTACATATTGACTTGGAGAGCACAAGTCTCTCCACTAGTAAAGTGTTGAATGGTCCCTCGGAGACACGAAGCTTGTCGCGCCACCCATTGAAGTCCTTCCTCTTGCCGCTGTGGCAGCAGCACCAGACGAACTGGTGGAGTACCTACTTCCTCTTGAAGCACCTGAGAGACACGACTTACGACTGCTAACACTCCTGGCATCTTCATCATCATCCACCCCATGCCTACTCCCACCACTTCCTGCTGCTCCCGAAGATGCAATGCCGCCAACGTTCAAACTACGAGCCAGGTTCGGCGCATACTTCTCCAGAGCGTGAACGGAGATCCTGTCATCATCCTCCCTCTCATCCCGGAATCGACGCTCACGATCGCACTGCTGCAGATACTCGCTGCGGTCTCGGTCCCGCTCTCGCTCGCGTTCTCTCTCCCGACGAATCGAAGTGGCAATTGAAACAGCATCGGCACCATCGTCTTCCTCCAGGGAACCACGCAGTCCACCCCTGCCTCGAGATGCTGGGGAGGAATGAGAACAGGGCAGGGTGGGGGAGGGGAGGGGAAGATAGGATATTGATCAGGATTTAGAGGCAAGAAGTGAAGCTGACTACTGAAAAAGTGGGCGGCGAGGAGGGAGGGAATGAAAAACGAAGTGCAATCGAGAATGGCAGCGGGATGTAGGGTAGAATGATAGAAGAAAAGGCCGTACCTGAACGCGGAGCAGCATATGTGTCTGAAAACACGCCAGCCCGTGCACTCTCCCTCGGAGTCCTCGCCTGCATCCCTGGCCCCCCACCACCACCACCATACCCTCCTCCTACTACTCCTGTCCCTCCTCCACCTCCCCCTCCTCCACCATAACTCCTTCTTGAGCTGCCCCCACTGCGTGTTGACCTTATGTCATCATCTATAACACCACCCCCAACGCCGCCTCGATCTTCCTGTAAAGCTTGCTCAAGCTCAGCTGCTGCATTCCACCTCCTTGCACCACCACCACCACCACCAGCACCACCACCAGCACCCCCAATGGATGATGTTCCGTAGTCTACAGCAGTCACTGCTGCTGCTGCTGTCATCCCCATCGCCCCTCGCCCACCACTTCTCGACCCGACGCCCCTCTGCCCAGCCATGCCTCGGACCGTCTCATCCCGACCTGCGCCAGAGGCTCGGCCGTTACCGCCTCCCAAGCCCCCGCCATCGGACAGATAATCCAGCTCTTCAATTATCTGCCGCCCAGACAAGCCCTGCTCTAACGACCGTCCGATTTTGAACCCCAAACCATCTCCAGTAGATGGAGGGCCAGGATTTCCCAACCTCCCTCCCATATCATCCAAAAAGACCCGCCCTGCGCCCATTCCCCTGGAACCTCCGCCTTCCCCGTAATAATCGTTCGCTGCCTCTCGAAATCTCGCTCCTTCCGCTTCCCCTCTGCCTCCGCCCCCTCCTCCCCTTCCCCCTGCGCCAGTGTACTGAAACTCCCGCATAAACGCGCCCGCGGCGTGCGCGAGCCTGGTTTTCGCGCCTTGCACGTCATCAAGCTGCCCTTGCAATTCCTCCACCGCTGATTGTAAGGTTTGCACTCGGTGCAGTAACATATTCTCAATCTCTTTCCTCTCTTCCGCGTATGCTTCTAACGCGTTCCCCGCGCGTTCCCGAATCCTGCGCGCTTTTTCCTCCGCTTCTTGCACTTCCCCCAGCCGCTTCTCCCGCTCCCCCCACATCTCGGCCCGCGCGCGTTCCGCCGATTCTTCCGCCTCCCCGCGCTCCTTACTCAGCCGATCCATCTCTACCGCCATAAAATCGCGCTCTTTGCTCAGCCGTTCGATCTCTAGCGCCATCAGATCGCGATCCTTCCGAAGCCGTTCGATCTCCACCGACATGAAATCTCGCTCCTTTCTCACCCGTCCGATCTCCACAGCCATCAGATCGCGCTCTTTCACGGACCGTTCGATCTCCATCGCCATCACCTCCCTCTCCTTTCTCTTCACCGCTAATTCCGCATCCATTTCGCTCACCTTAGCCGCGAAAGTTTCTAAATGCCCGGCTAGGTCCTTCCAACCCTTGCGGAAATCCCTCAGATCTTCCTCTGCTATAGTCTTCTCCTCTCTTACGCGCTCGATGTCCCGCCTAAGCCTCATCGCTTCTTCACTGGCGGCTTCCGCCTGCCTCCGCGCGCCCGCGCATTTCTCCGCCGCGTCTTGCGCCTCCACGACTGCGCGAACGTGGTCCTCCTGCAGCAGACCAACCACCTTCCGCCACTTGTCCGCCTCCTCCGCAATTTCCGCCTCCACTCCCTTCAACAGCTCCTCCCGTCCCGCTTCCCCCGCGTCCTCCTCCCCCCGTCTCGTTCCGCTATATGCCCTTCCCCGCACGTCTTCCCCAGCAAACTTCCCCCGGGCTGCGCGGTCCGCCGCATGAGCACCGCGGCTGCCTTTGGCGCCCGTAGAACTGGCAGCAACTTCCTTGCTAGCTGTCAGCGCGTCTAGCTGCAAGCGCAGTTTGCGGAGATTATTCCACTCCTCTCTCATTCCCGCCAAGACGGTCATAGCGCGGTCGCGCGCGCTTCGCGCGGATATCAACTCCCATTCTAGTTCCTTGAGTTTCCGCAAGCCCACCAAATCAGACTCTAAACTGCTAATCCCCTCCACGGCAGTCGTTCCGCCAACCCCTCCCCCACCTCCGCCTCCGCCTCCGCCTCTCCCCCCGCCGCCCCACCCCCCGGCGGCCTCCCCTTCCCCTTCCAGCTCCTCCACGTTCCCCGCGAGCATGCGGATCTTCAGGCGCAGTTCCGCCGCCGTCGCTTCCGCCGCCTCCTTCTGGCGGGACGCCGCCGCCAGCTGGTTCCACAGCTCGTCCGTCTCCGCCTGCGCCGCTTGTAGCTGAACCGATATGCGCTTGTGATCCTCCTGTAGCGCCAGGTGATTCTCTCTAAGGTCTCTAAGCTCCTGGTCTTGCTGGTAGAACATAACGGCTATGCGGTGCGACGCTTGCTTCGCCTCTTCTACCTCTTTCTCTAGTTCCGCCACGTCCTTCCCCCTCCCGCGCCGCCGGGCCCCTTCCGCGTCTCCGCTTTCCCCCTCACCGGCTCTTCCCCCAGCTCCCTCGTCCCCTCCGCCTCCGCCGTCCCCGCCGCCACTCGTGCCGATTCGTTCCATGGCTTCTATCGCTCGTTCCATAGCCGCTTTGTTTAGCAACGTGTCATTCTGTAACGCGTCATTCTGCAGCACACCAGAAGACGCTTCAGGCGACTCGATGGTGCGATCCATGGCTTCCCTTTTACGTTCCACGGCGTTCGAGTCGAGAGACCGATCCGCGTCAGCCGCCCGGTTCGACTCAGGAGCACAATCCAATCCAAGTTTTCCTTCCCTGGATTCCATGGCTTCCATCTTCCGCTCCACGCGTCGCACCTCCTCCATCGCGGACCGCGCGGAGCTAACAGCGCCCGGTTCACAAGCCTCGCGCTGGCTTTGCGACGCCGCGTAAGACGCCGTAGCAACCGCTGACCCGCTGACGTCAGAAGACGAGCCGTTGTTGTTCAATAACTCCTTCCTGACGTCGGAAGATCCGCTCTCCGTCTCCGACTGGCGATCCCCGCCTGTGAACCTGCCGGCGACTGACGGCCCGGTCCAGTTGCCGGTAAACTTACTGGCTTCCGGCAAGCCGTTACCGGCACGTTCGCCCTCGCGACTATCCACCTGCTGCTGCTCCTCCTGCTTCGCGCCCCAGTCTTGCATCGCCGTCTGGAAAGAACGGCCCCGGTTTTTGAGAGCCGCGCGCCAGTCATGCGCCCCAGCAGCCTGGGAGGACCGACTCTGCATCTCGATTTCCAAGAATCGACTCTCCACCTGCTTCTCCCGTTTCGCGGCCAAAGACGAGCCTAGA